CATCAAAATTGTTTTTATAATCAGATTCACAAACAGGCTATTTTGAATTTATCCAAATTTTTTTTTTATTTTCAGTTCTAAAAAAACATAAAAAATGTATTATACATGTATAGTGCTAGGTTCACTTATTGAACAAAAAATAAAAAAATAAATAAAAAATATGAATGTAAAGAAAGTTAGTCCAAAAGTCAGTTCTATCTGTTACACCTTGTATAAAGACTAAAAACTTAGAACTGTTAAAATGTTGGTTGTCTACATGCGTATTTATATTTCCAACAAAATTTCGAGATTAAATTATTTTTTTTTTTGTACCATAATCCTGCTAGTAAATCTAAGATAGAAACAATACATATATCTAGGTAGTTAGTAGCATATACAACATTAGGATATAGCAATAAAATAGCTACATCTATAGGCCATATTATGATGTATAGTGTATACACTGAAATAAACTAAATTAAACTAAAAACGTTGGTTATTATTTACCCTCTATCCAGACCGTTTTTGAGTTTTCTAGCCAACAAACAAAATTCGCCAAACGTCATGTATACCGGTGAATTTCTATTGGCACATTTCATTACACACTGCATCATTTCAGCGACTATATGAAAATATGAAAATAAAAAAAAAATGTATTTAAGTTGTACACAAAAATGGCAAGTATTGTTGCAAAAGAATTACCTTGGGCCGAGGTCAGGTACAATCCYAAGTCGTTGAACAGCGCCTGAACTCTGTGGGCCGGCGCGTTCGTGTTTTGGGAGCCCACACGTGAATTCCATGTCGAACACAATTCTCTACAAGGCAGAAAAAAAAACACAAATATTTGTATAAATATCATACTGTATAATTGGGCAAAAACAAGATAAAAAATCCGGTATCGCCGACGCGATTAAATTCAATTATTTTGTTTTATTTATATGATTTTTTAATTACATTTGAAAGCAACCAGGAAGAAACCATGTTGACGCTACTAAATCGAGCGACACACAAAGGTAACAGCAATATTTCGTAGACTGTGTACAATATACATAGGTAGTAGGTACTATACGTACTATACGTACCTACTYCGATAAGAATATAAAATTGTCACATTATAATAGTCTAGATTAGATATGGCGTATGAGAGGAATTTTTCATACAATCGAATTAATAATATCAGTCAGTTAAATTATAGTGTGTGTACTGTGTACAGAATATAATCCCATTTTAAATACATATCAGTACACTCAGTGTTGGACAAAAAAAACTCTATAACAAGTTATTAAGGGAAATATTCATATTTCATAGTTGAAAATTTAAAAATTCTAATGAAAAAACATTCATTAAATATTCCAATACTATATGGGATGATTATAATATGATGCATAATATCGATGTTAAAATCGTCGACACGACAAACAACGTGCAAACATACAATATGTATATTTTAAATTAGCGAAATTAATAAGTATTAGTAAAAATGCTATCATTAGGAATCTGTTCTTGCATGCATATACTTAAAAATAATGTAAATCAGAATTTAAATCAATGTATTACWTTAAAAAGAAAAGTGAGAGAAATCATGCTTTATGACTCACACTGTAAATGTTAATAACCATAAACAATATAAATGTATAATCAATTGTAATATATATTATTATATAAGTACCAACTAGGTATCTTTTAACATGTAACTATTTTACAAACTATCGAGAACAATGTATWTAGGTATAGTTAAAATTTTGATTTCCGGCTATTGTCGTTTGTTTAAGACCTGTGCATAAAATTATCTATTTAATCTAATCAATCTTCTAAACGTGATTATAGTACAAATAATGCAATGGTAATTTGTGTGCTTACTGCTTACCAAACTAATTTATTTAAAATCAATTTTATGATACGGAATTGAAATGCAAAATTACCATTATAAAGTTATTTTAGATTCTGAACGAAGTGATGAATGTATTGATTTTACAATGATG